CCGGGCTCTATGCGCATGTCATTCATCAGCGACACACCTCGGTAACAAAGACGGCGTCTCCCAGACTCTGTGCGAATAGCGGGGAGGGTGAACTGGACCGGCGGAGTTGCAGGAACCTCACAACAAGCCCGTGCAACCGTCAAAGTGAATCCCCAGCGAGTCTGCACGGATAACGACATGCATAAATTCCGCAGCACACTAGCTGCTCCGTTTATCCCACTTCCTGCGAAACCCAAACTACCCATAGCACAGGCAACACGGATACGGCGTCCTGGATATGGGGGCAGCAGCAAGTATTCATACATTACACGGCTCTACCGACCCCTGACCAGCAGTGCAGCTGATAGAGGCGAAACTCATCTGATAGAGCAGCCCATTATGTCAGGCAGTTAATTGGTCTGTAGTGGAGCCTCCCTCAAACAACGCTCCACCCAGCAGTGTTTGGTATGTGGGGCCAAACGGCGAGGGTTGCTTTTAAACGGTAAACTTTGGCTCAAGAAAAGTCAACTGTAATGGCGACAACGCCTTACCAACATGCGTTTTATCACCATCCCTGTGCCATTTGTAAGATACGCTGGAATCAAAAGCCGAACGGACAATAGGTAATAGAAGTTTGACCGTTTAGCCGCCTAAACAATAAAACCGAATGTTTTCATTGGGCGGCAGTAATTGTAATATCGACAGCACCCCGACCATAACTGCATACATTACGCCTTGCGACAAAGGTCCGGGGTCCACTTAGTCAGCGGGTCGGCAATGAAGCGTCTCAGGATGGGTGTTTTCTCCGCCGCATTAGCATAAACGCGGTCAATGTTCCCGTTTGTTTTATGACCGGTGGGCGTTCCGACGGTCGTCTCGGCCGAGCTGTCGGGACCGTCTCCGACACGACAGCTTCGTCACAGCTCGGTCCCGTCCATCACTGACTGAGAGGCGGCTCTCCAGGCTTTTCTCCGGCCTGCGGTAACGGAGCGGCGCCTCGCCGTCAAACTGCCCACTGCAGTGGTCTGTAGTGAACAGCAGGCTCGCCCGCTCCCAAAGTTTGTCACGGTGTGTGATTTACACGCACGCACTATTACCGACGGGCCCAAAGGCACACTGACACTCATCTCAAGTGTGACGCAGTGGGTGGATTCGTGTGGAGCTGAAACCACTGCAGGATAGGCCCTCGAGCTGAGCGTGACTGTTCACATACCCGGTAATAAACGTAAAATGAATAATTGAATCGTAACCAACGCAATCATTGGCTCAGGTCAGCATATATTAGAAAAGTAGCGATTTTTATTATGTGGCTATGACGTGTACCGAATTTGATATCCGAGCCATTTATCCTAGCAAGCCTCCAATAAGTTCCTGGCTCCGAAGATGAATTGTTCCAAATCCCACAGTCCCCAACACTGGGTCCAGTTCATGACAATGGGACGCGACTGCTCTCCAAAGAATATGAGCGGAACGGTGCGGGACAATCGGCATTGTCAACTGGCCGAGTTTCCCGTGTTCGTCCTATTCACGAAGTCGTGAATAAGGCACAAATCGTGAGTGGAACATCGCCTTCTTTAGAGTCCTGTTAAAAACGCGAACCGTTTGACAGCCAACACCTGGCCAAACAAAGTGCCGCCTTTCTTCAGAATGACGAGCATTTCATCTATGGCTGCTCATCTGATTTGTTAAACACTAGAGATCACCAAATGTAGAGCTTAGCTACACAAAGCTGCACAGAACACAGTATTGAGTCAGTGATGACTGAAGCTCTAGAGTCTGGCGAGACTATACATATGCATACCAACGACAGTCCGCAGGCCGCGAAAAACAGATCAGGTGCATTCTCTGCCCGGCCGGCACCGTCTCAACTGGTCAGAATACGGCTCAGTTAGCGCCTCTACTGCTCATCACGTTCGCCTGCCAGCACCGCTGCCGGTGGTGCTATAACTGCAGCTTTCTCTCATCTCCGAGATCTCCGTAGTTATCCCATCATGGGGTGGTGTGAACCGGCCCGGAATGGTCCCCCGGGTACGGCGCAACAAACGGAGGGCCGCTCGGGGATCGGGGTCGACCTAATGGGGGACGGTGTCGGGGCGGGTGATAGTGGGCCCGTCAGACAAACAGACCAGAGGCAGACGGGTGTGATAGACAAACAGGTACGGTGATGGTGAGGAAGGGTCGGAGGGCGCGGAGGAATTAGCTCCACCTAGTGAGTGGGGAGAGGTTGATATGTGGATGACCTAGAAAACGGAAACGGCGTAGATTATATAAGAACGCAGGAGGTATAATGGTTTGTTTATCTGGAGAAGAGGAGAGGGGAGGGCTGCGTAATGTGAGACCCTAGAACAGAGCGTAAGAGCAGTAAAAACCGTGACCGCACTCTGCGGGAAGCCGTCTGATGCTGCTGAAGGAAGCCCTCCGGCGTCGGACCCTGACCGCGGTCGGCCGGTACGCACCTCAGCTTGTCAGAAGCCGTACGGTACCTCGGCAACAAACAGGGGATCGGCCGTATCTGACGGCTTCGCGGCTTCACAATGTCCCCAGGTCACGACATGAGCGTAAGCTGGCCTGGACCCAGGTCACGGTATAAATATGGTGATATCTTCATAGGGTTTAAGCAGCTTCTGAATGCTGACCCCACTGGTCCCGGTATGGGCACCGTCTCAGTCTGGGTCACGACTCACGGAAGACACCAGCTGACCTCAGGCCATAATATAGATTACCGTGGCCTCGTGTCCCTGTTTACTTAAACCACTACACGAATGTGACAAGACACCTATCATCTCCATTCAGGGGCATCGCGAAGGTATCAATTTAACTTTATGTCAGCTGTAAAGATAGTAAGCCCAGGTAAACCAGAGCTCTGATTTCCGTTATTACGGGAAGGTGCCGTCACTCGCCATTCCACGGCCAATTACGTTCCCCATAAACAGAGCGGACGATAAGAGGTATCAAAGCGTCAGGATACAGTGTCCCGACTGACGGGCGCTGTCTGGCATGCTCCCGTTAGCACGTCAGCAGTTGAATGAACGAGTCTGCAGGCTACGATCACTGACCAGTGACCACCTACTCTATCGTCTAGCCTGCCACCAGTGGCCGTATTCACAATCACGGGTTAAGGGTAGGGGTAGGAGTAACGGGTAACGGGTTATTTTTGTGGCCGTATTCACAATCGAAGTTTACCCCTGATGCTCGCCCGGCGCCAAGCAGACGGCACCTGGCCTGCGTGGCGCCGTCTGCGTGGCGCCGGGCGAGCATCAGGGGTAAACTTCGAATGTGAATACGGCCACAAAAATAACCCGTTACCCATTACTCCTACCCCTACCCTTAACCCGTGCTTGTGAATACGGCCACAGATGGCAGCCTCTCCCCTGAGCGGACAGAAGCTAGTAGCCACGGCCACTGCCTCCCAGTGGGCCGCGCCGAAGGTGCTCCAGTCGCAGACCGCCTACTGGAGAGTCAGTCGGCGGAGATGAACTGCCGTGGGAACCGGGACGGTGGCGCTCCCACCGGATCAGCGGGACGCTCAGACTGACTGCGGTGGAGACGGTAACGGGCCCCGCTCGGACCATCAAGGAAGGGTACAATGTGGCCGCAGGGATGCTGTGTGGTTTGAGCTTGGCGAGAGATGCGAGGGTACAAAGGGGAGGTCCTAGTCTGCTGATGGATAAATGACCTCTAGATCTGCGGAGAACTAACCTCTTCAGATGGGAGCGACGACAGTCGCCAGTTAGGCCAATCCCTTTCTCGATGGCAGCGCCACCTGCACGGCCGCCGTGTAACCAGTGCTTCTTACGATGGCGCCACCCATCTGCATGGTTGTGGTGATGGGGCGGTTGCTGAACGCAGCCATCAATTTAATTCCAAACAGCAAACGATACAACTTGTAACAATCTTAAACCATCAGGCTGAGTGCGTTTCAATTTGAGGCATGCCGGTAAGTAACACCTGAGCAACTAGGCCCCGATATTGTGAATCATAAGCTCGGTGCCACCGGCGCAGTGCGCACCTCCCTGCCACCTGGTGGCCAGGCAGCATACCAGTAGTTGAGACGAAGTCCGACTGGGGACAAACTGCCAGCAAAAGTCGACGAGATGCTGACAGCTCGAGGCAGATGACAACAAATAATGTTACAATAATCGGCACCTGACAACCTACTGTCTGCGGGAAGCTCTGAATAAATAGCGAATCGAAAGTAGAATAACAGAGAAAGTGCATAACTAGATCTAAACGCCTCATTGTCCGAGATAGACCGTCAAAGGGCACGCCCTTCTTGAGGGAAAGCCGTGAAAACGGAGCCGTGATTGGCGCTTTCCTGATCGCGTCGGCATCCGGTCACCGGCAGCCGAACGCGGTCAGGTGAGACCACTGAGTTCCGACTGGGACTTTGAACCGGCAGCCTCCGGTGGTTGGCGGAGACCGGCTCGGATTATCCGGGACCAATCTCAGTGACGGAGAGCTGCGAGAGCTGTTGAACGATGCGTCTCGAGAGCTGTGGTGAGCGAGGGCGTGATGCAGGGGAATGTTGATAAGACGAAGAGGGAACTATGGGAAGTTTGGAGGACCAGAAGGGCGAACATGACTTAAAAATACAGGACGTACGAAGCAGATTTGGCAGAACGGACATTTGGAGTATCATAGATGTGGCGGTGGGGACGTTGCACAGTTGCGTCGGGCATAACACAATGTTTACACACTGCACAGCTCTGTCCTCCGTAGAGCTATGTCAGAGCTGTCTTCAGAACTCAGGGCTCGGAGCGGCCGTCTCCCGCCCTATATCGCTCGGCCGGCTGTCGTGGACGGCCGTCAATCAGCGGCCAATTATTGGCCCTGCTGGTACAGCCTCCTCCTCCTCCGGCGTATACGCCCACCACCTGAAAAGGTCGCTCCTGAAAGAAGGAAACCCCGCTCCGCCCACCACCCACCCAGGCGGGACCTGACCGGACTCCGGTGGCGGGTGTTAGCGTTACTTTACATCAGAAAGGCGCCAAAGAATGGCGCGCGCGGGGCGGTGTTCCTACCCTGAGGCCGGTCTCGGTGTCGGCGCCGTCCGATTTCTTCTTTCGGCGGAGTTTCTTGGCGGCGTCCTTGGCACCGGCGCGCCGCTCCGAGCCTCCTCCCACCTGTCGGTCACACAGACGAGCCGGCGTGTAAAAACGGCGCGCGTCACGGCCGGGCAATGGGCAGGCACGGCGCTCGGCGCGGCAGTCACAGCCAGCCGGGACGAGCCCACCGCCCGCCGGGAAAGGGGTGTGACAAAAACGCCGCCAGCCGGTCCAAGGACGGCGGCGATTTATGGGTCGGACGTTCACACAGAGGGGGTGGTTTACTGGGGTGGGCGATGGTCGCACAGGCGGCAGTGGTTTACTGAGTTAGGGTGGAAAGAGTGACTGCCACACAGAATGGGTGATTCGCTGAGAGGGTGGAAAGGGTGGCGGGCACAAACAGGTGCCGCCCTGGTCATAACTTTCGCGGCATCATGGTTCACACGGAATCGTTAGCCGCGGTGCCCATCCGTCCCAACCGCTTGTCGCTCGGCGCGGAGTTCAAGGGCTTGCAAGTTCACAATTCATTGACCGATCTGACAGTTCACTATCCAGCAAACAAACTATAACAGCGTATTTTGCCTTCAATACGTATCCGAAGGCATGAATCATCAGAAGGGAGGAATGGTAACGTGCAGCCAGCATCACTCACTCACTGACCGACAAACAGGACCCACCGGTCACAGATGATACAGACCTGTTGTGCATTGTCAGCACATTCCTTCAAATAAAATACGTCAAAACAAACCACACAGATAGACAGAAAAGGGCACTTTTGTGCCGACTCAGACCGCGTAACCCCGCTACTGACTGCGCAAACGTTTGAGAGCAAGTGAGGTCACCCGCATTGTATGCACCCGCACATACATTCACGATGTGCGTACAGAGCACACTGCGATGTGCTCATACAATCAGTTCGACTCAGTCATAAGCATTATATTCCAGTGGACTCAAGGTTCATTATTCACCCGTGCAGCGAATGATAGACACTCTGACAGCCCGACCTAGTCGCATTATTCACCGCTTCGTGCTTTAGTTCCGACCTTCCTAGTTCCTACACGGTCAGGACAACCCCACTCACCCCAGAAACAGGCGGCCGCACCGTTTGCACTGGACTGCGCACTCGCCGGCCCAGTGTGTTGTAACCTGTTTATACGTCGACCCCGCGCGGTCAGAATGTCAGCCGGTGCACTGCCACTGTCCTCTCCGGGGCGCCGCCCGAGCGCCCTTCATCTTCCCGACAAATCTGTGCGTTCGCTCATATTCAGCCGGTGTCGTAACCGACTGCGACAGAGTGCAGCACACACCATAGCCGACAGATCGTCTCCGGAAACAAATCGTATTCAGAGACAGCGGGACAAACAATCCTCAGTTCCTGCTTCCAGCTGGTCATCGCCGAACGTCTTATACACCCTCCGCGGCTTAGCAGTGCCCACTGGTATTCACATCTCAATGTAAATTGGTAGCCAGTGGCGGTGAGCACTGCGCACTCAGGTAGCACGACGAATCGGCGTCGTGAACTAAGGATAAGTCATATCTCGCTATATCGCGCAGTTCGTAAACCCGGTCCCCAACGTCGGTCACGGCCGAGAGTAGCCAGCCCATACCGGTCCCTTCTGGAAAATGCAGTAGGTAAGAGCCTCTCGTTAGCAACAATTCCATCCGCTCAAGGCTTGTTCTGAGTAGCTTGTAGTTGTTTGAATGGACGACAGCCGTCAGGTAGGAAATGCAGGCAGGCACGCGTTCCGACCATGAGACGTCCAAAGTTGGTCTATGACTCTTGACAATGGCCTGGCCTGGATTCTGCTTTCATGATGCGAGGTCACGGTAAAGCAGGCACTGATAAATAACTAGATGTGCCCTTGGGCAATAACGCACAGCCACGGCCCACGACCAAGGATATGGCTGACTTGTTTGTTCAAAAAGATGGATTGTAAGCATATTTCAACTAAATTGGGCACTTCAACGATCCGACATAAAACAAAATGCATAACATACCAAACTAAATTGTCTGCGCACGCACGGAGGCTCCGAGTATGGCACGCCTCGCAGTCACCGGCGATGGTTTGTTTGTCGGCATCCACAGCCTGATGGAATTGTTTTTACCCTGTCACCTTCTCTGCTGGAGTCACCACATTCCTGCATGTCCGCCGGCCGCAGTGCTAGCCTCCGCTCCGATGAGAGCGGCCCAACTCAGAACAACAGACGGCCGAGGGAACAACACCGTCCGGCCGTTAACAGCGCCGACCATTGCTGTCCGTCAGAGGGTGCCGTGAGTGCCCACAGCGGCCCGTTTCCCATGGGGGTCCCACGGCGCCACCGCGCGCTGCTGGTCCGTCACGGCCGCTGCCCGTCCTCTGGGCCGCGTCACGGATCCGTCATATCCCGTCACACCCGCGTAACGCTCCGTCACGTCACAGCTGAGCCGACTCGGTCAGACCCACCGGAACTAGCATCGGGTGATTACCGATCATCTGGTAGCGCACCACCAGCTGACCTCCCGTTCCCTGACAGCCCTGTTCGTTAGCCCCTGCTCGTCCGAACGGTTCAGGCACGAGCGGGAAGGACAGCGGGCCCCGTCCCCCGCGGCAGTTCAGTGCGGGCCGGCCGGAAGCAGGTGCCGATAGTTCCGCCCACCCCGCTCCCGTCCGCCCCACCCCGCCGACACACTCTCTAGGAATGCGGTCTGATGGCCACCGCCGGACCCGGCCCGTGGAACCATAGCGTGGAACTACTGCGGGGTAACGGCCGAGCCAAATCAGCGTGTCGACTCCGTGTTGGAGGCGGGTCGGTCAGTTCAAACACCGGGCAGCGGGCACGCACGCTCACGCCAGACACGCACACATGCCCGCAGATACGCACACATGGCCTGCCGTGGCACGTGGTCTGAGTCTTGGCCTCCGTGCCACAGCCGCGGGGAGAAAGCAGGCCAGCCTCTCTCAGAGTGGCGAAAGGTGCGCATAGTATAGACTGTGGTGACTATAGTGGTGGCATCGGTGTCGGATTCAACGCGACTCTACTGACCGCGGGACACAGTGTCGGCAATAGAAGGCCAGCTGTCACCACAATCCGCCAACGCTATCGGCAATGGATACTGGATAGTGTGGTTCAAAAACGCTGAATGTGTGCTTCCTGCCTTCCTATCCACCAGGCGAGTCTACAGTGACATCGGAGATCTGTAGCTAGCCGAAGAAGACGGCTATGGCCACTGAAGAAGACGGTGATAGGATAGTTAAGTCTGGTGTTTTTAATCGCGGCGCCACCCGGCGTTCCATACACCGGTGATGGGAACTGAGGCACGATTCATCAATGTTCGGCTGCCTGGAAGGGCCACAAATTACCGTTTTTGTTCGGTTTGATCAGGCTCCTGGTGAACCGATTGGGAAGAGCTCCGTTACATGCCTTCCCATGGTAACTGTTCACCGTCTAGTCGTTCCGAAGACTGCTGCTGAGCGGTGGATAGCCAGCGGCCGGTCAGAGGCCCCAGTGCACCGCTCAGGTCAGAGACACGCCTGGACCGCCGTGTGACCCCGCGGAGAGGAGGGGCCCAGCAACCGTCCACTAATACCACACCCGACCGCAGCTGGCGGAACGTGTCGACGCATAGCACTCAATAGCCTTCAACCAGTGGCAGCTCGGTTGGAAGCTGGCTCCTGTCTGGCTATTCCAGCTGCGACAGCCACAGGTGGAGCGTGCTGCAGCATATCTCAACAGCCCTCAGAGCTCAAAGCCCAAGCACCTCTGGGAGCTCGAAAGTTCCATGACACTCTTGACAGCTGGTAAGTCCCAGCTCAGCTGCGTTGGCGTGACCTGGACAGGCTGCGCAGGTAAGACTCCACTCATCTGAGCACGGCAGTATGTTGACGCCTCTTCAGATAGGTCGGCATACAAGTCTCCAGCATCGACGCTGAGTGGTGAGTGGCACACTCACACAGTAGGCCGCCACCTGCCATTACATTCACCTCTTGGTTCGATGAGCAATTCTCGAAGGTCGGATGATTGGACGGAATTCGGTCGCCAATCGACCGGATGATACTGAGACCTTGTAAATACAATGGCCAGTGGTCCGAAACAATTAACATATTTCGCCCAGAACCAAGGCCTGTGTGACCAACAGGTAGCATTCTTAGCCACGAAAGGCTCGCATCTATGACAATGCCTCGCATCTCCTTCCACAAGTAGGTAAACAAGCATTGCCTTGCCCTTGACCCGTTACCTTACCACCATCTCCACCATTGACCACCATCGATAGGGGTCGATGGCGGCGATGGCGAGCGAAGGCCAGATAGCAGGCGGTAGCCGCAGACAGCCGTAATGCCGACAGTCAGGCACACACATCCTCCACTAACAAACGGACATACCGTCATAGCGCAGACGGACACACAGTCGTAATGTAGCCCGACAGGCAGACAGCTTTAACAGTACACCGACAAATAGACATACAGACATGGCCATTGGCCAGCCATAACGCAGACCAACAGGAAGACAGTCCCCACACCGACATGCGGATATACATTATACAGTCATAACGCTGACAAACAAACATGCAGCCATAATGCAGACCGACAGGAGAGTCATAACGCAGATAGGCAGAGGCACGACTGGCAGATTGAGGCACACATCCGGCCGGACAATGGCCGGACTGGGCGATAAAACACAGCACAGACGCACCGCGCCTCCCCGACCCTTTGCAAATAGAAATAATCCGCCCGTCGACCGGCTAATGGTAAAGAGTAATGACAGAGAGGGAGGGTTTTATGACTGACTGGCGCCGGAACCGGCGACGTATCAGATACAAGACATGAGATGATGAGCGAGGATGGTATTCCCAGCAACAACTGAATATACCATGAACCATATCATCTGGTGACTGGTGTGTTATCATCAGAGTCTTCAAGGCCTGAATGGAAATTGGACAAGAAAAAGCAGACCAAATGAAGATGTCTGTCAGGTGCTTCACGGTTTAACTCGACTGTCACGAGGTGAATGCCTAATATTCATCACCAGCCCGCAGTATGGTAATGCCGCCCCACAGGTAGGTCACTAGCATCCCCCGCCCGCACGACCTCGATGAATTCGTCCCATTGATATATCATTCGCACAGTTGTTTGATCAGTTGTTTGTGGGCCATGCAGTAATACAGCGGCTTCAAGTCCCCATCCCGACTATGTTCCTTCCTTCTTTTTGAAACCAGGAGAATGATAAAGGAAAATATGAAGGAAGCGAGGGTTAGCGAATACCGGCGGCCCACCCCCTTCAATCATTTTTCACACGCTCACATGCACCGAGATTATAGGTTAACGGTTTAACCTAACGTTCTGATCCGTGATATCACGCTGAGCTCTTGGCAAGGCGAGCAACAATAAAGAGACGACCGAAACAGCGGGTAGTACGAGGGCCGCGTGACAACGGACAGGACGGTACACCGTGCAGACAGGACGGTCCGTCAGGGAAACAGCGAGGTTACATAAATTCACTTCCATTTACGGGATGAAAAACGACTGCGGCTGAGCAGAGCTCCATGACGCTTTCTCCGGATTAGGAATACCTTAATTATTTTTAGTCCTAAGGCCGGGGAATTTCGTTCCCGACTTATTCGACTGACGTCATTTTCAACTGAAACTTGTCCCGGTTTCTATTCACCAACACACCATTTCCATATCTGATTCGACAGGGGGAATAATACAGGGAGAAACAGTAATAGGAAAACTAGCAGGAAACCCCAATAAACAAACATTCCTTCGATACAACGGACTGAACTTCGAGATAATCATTCAGAACCCATAAATACGGCTTACAGCGTGTATAATAGACCAATGGCTAACAGCAGATAATCTAATCCCCTCGCTCCACTTACCCCTTCGTCGCTGTCCTCATCGGTCACCTTGGACGCCTCGGTGACGCCCTCGATGACGTCATCTGTGGTCGCCGGTGCGGTGACGTCATTATCAGCTGTCACAGTGACGGGGTCGTCCGTCGCCGGTAGCTCTGTGCTCTCCGGAGCCGGCGGGCTGCTGGCTCGGTCACTGAGGCGATCACCTTGCTCGGACAGGGTGCGGCTGCGGAGGGGCTCGCTATCCCCAGCGCTGGGAGCTGGCTGTTCCTCAGTCTCCACCGTCTCCACGGCCTCCGGCTTATCCTCCAGCCCCTCCACCTCAGCCAGTACCTCCCTCTTCTCCTCCCCCTCCACCTGATCCTCCACCACCGCCTCCTCCTCCACCGGCGGAGGTGAGCTCATCTCCTCCCCGGCGCCGGTCAGACCCGGCTCGTCCCGACCGCTCGGCAGCGGCGACCCGGCCCGGTCGGAGACGGCCGAGGAGCGCCGGCTGCTGCCGCTGCTGTGCACTGAGGCCGTGTCGGCAGTGTCGACAGACGGGGCGGCGGCGGCGGCGGCAGGCTCGACAGGAAGCTCCTCAGAGATATCAGACGAGCGGAGAGACACTTCTTTGACCTCCCGGAGCTCTCCAGACGTCTCAGACGAACGGCGCGATGCCTCTCTGATCTCTTTGTGCTCCTCCGAGGTGGCAGACGAACGGCGCGACACCTCCCTGAGCTCCCCTGAGACCTCAGACGAGCTGCGAGACACCTCCCTGAGCTCCCCTGAGACCTCAGACGAACGGCGCGACACCTCCCTTACCTTCTCAGATGTCTCGGACGAGCTGCGAGACACCTCCCGAGCCTCGGACATGTGCTCTGTGAGCTGTTCAGTCACCTGGCTGGTCGTCTGACTGGTGACCTGCTCAGTAACCTGTTGCGAGGCCTGTTCGGTGACCTGTTGCGTGACCTGCTCGGTGACCTGCTCGGTGACCTGCTCGGAGACCTGCTCGGAGACCTGTTCGCTGACTTGTTCGGTGACATGTCTGGTGACTTGTTCGCTCGCGTATTCCGACGCATTCTCAGACAGTTGCTGTGTGGTTTGCTGAGTGAACTCCTCCACCAGGTGCTCTGAGCTCTGCTCCGACACCTGCTGAGTCAGCTTCTCCGTGACCTCAGTGGTGACCTCGGACGCCTCTCCGGTGACCTTGGTGACCTGTGTCGTCAGTCGGCTCTCGGCCGCCTCTCCGGCCGTCTGTCGGCTGACCTCAGTGACCCGGGTCACCTCGTGGTCCCCCTCCTCATCCGACACCTCCCCTCCGTTCGTCTCCAGCAGCAGCAAACTCTCCGGCTGGTCGGCGGCGAGACGGGCCTTCAGTCCGGGTACCACAGCCGGCTCGGTGTGCTCAGAGAACTCCATGTGCTCCGTGTGCTCGGTGTGCTCGGTGTGCTCCGGCTCTGTGGCGCGCCGGGTGCGCAGCTCAGCCTCAATCAGCTCCTGCAGGCTGGTGTCTGAGCTGAGAGGCGGCGTCAGCAGCGCGCCGTCAGCGCCCAGCGGTGAGGACGGCCCGTCCGACCGATCCATGGTGCACCTCTGAAACAGGGGGAGAGAGGAGTCAGCACCAGAGAAGGGGACGTTGTGCTATCATTCATGTTTGTGTTTTATGACTCGCAACGTCCCTACGACCAATTGGTAATGTCTAAGGACATTTTAAGCCCATCAACTGGCCACACCCCCAGCATGCATTGAGTGCTTAACAAACGTCCAAATATAATCTATCATCTCTTCCAAGTGTTCATACATTTTTTAATCAAAAACAATTTACAACCATTCAAACTGGGCTATCAATCATGTCTCATGCACATTGCACATTCATTCATCGCATGTAAGTACTGTTAATTTGTATATATTCTGTGAATGGACTCTGTCAGCACTGACCACTAAGGAATGGCACACACGACAAACAAAATCAACCAGCCAACGACCGCTAAGTGACACCGACCCGGTGCCGAGAGCTACTCACTCACGACCCGCGACGCCCCAGGATCGTCGTGCAACTGCACTGACCCCCGGATGAGCGCCGTGCAGCCATGAGTCTCGCTCCCAGCGCCGTGCCGGTCCCGCTCCCCCGATTTGTCATGCCCGCTGACAGCGCGTCTGGCGACTGCACCATCAGTTAGCCACTTCTTGTTTGCAGATTGGGACAGCGCGCCTTTGCAATGCATCATGCCGTGTGTTTATGTGGAGTCGAACTCGGTCATGGCCCGTGTGCGGAGCCGGACGGACGGTTTTTCTCGGTGCTGTGTGACCGGGGACGGTGTTCGAGGGACAGATCGGCACGCAGCCTGCCCTCTGGCCGGCTGCGGCCTTGACATCCTCTGCGGCGGCCGTAATGCTGGAACGGGCACGCCGAGAGGCCATATATGGCGAGGAGGCGCGCATCGGCCGCGGGGAGTGTTTTTGGGTCAGCGTAGTTAATCACAAGGCGTAAACAAACTCACTCACACGTCAGCGAACCGTGTTAGCTAAAATAAACGAAAAGCTCAGCTCCTTCAGGCAAAACTACTCAACCATTAGATACCGCCCCCTTCTCCTCCTATATCAGAAAAAAAAACAAGAGTTTAGTCACTAGCAAAGGGTGCAAAAGGGTACTATACTTGGCTAAAACAACAGCAGAGCGGCGTGGCCCGAGAGCTACAAGAACTATTCGACCATTAGATACTGCCCCCTTCCCATCCTCCATCAGAAAACAAATCAGCCACTGTTACAGGGTGAAAGCGAGGACCATACGCAGTTATACGACCATAAGAAGCAGCAGAGCCGCCTGGCCCGAGAGTTGCCATGCAACTATGCCGGTTCCTTCCGTTTTGGCTCGTATCAGCAGTCTATGATGACGTTTACTGTGCTTCCGTGTCTTCCGGCTAGGAGGTCATCTGCAGTTGTGGCTTCCGCCCGGACGGAGTTTAGCCTATCTCCCCCGCCTCTGAACATCCTCTGAGCTCATCGGGGTCTGAGCTCATATATCCGTACCCCCACAGGGTCATACTATATGTAGACGGGTCAGAACTCAGGCATCGTGATACCGAACTACATCACAAGCTGTGGGACAAAAGAACAGAACACGACGAACCCCATATAGGTAATCACCGGTGGAGTTTCTCTCCCAGTGCCTCCTCTGTCTCCTACATATCTCCAGCGTTTCGTCCGTCTTTCTAACCATGTCGTCTGTCCCGATTCTCACCGAATACAAATGACAGACGACGCGGAGTGACCGGCGACTGCACGCTGCACACTGCACAAAAACCTCACGCGGACCAGCCACCCTTCCTCTGACCTGGATACTGCAGAGGGAGACGGCAGAGGTACGTTTTTGTTCTGCCGCCTGTCCCCGCTAACCGCACCGACCGACTGACCGTTGACCACTGGTCAAAAACTACAGACCAGCGTGACCAGTGGTCAGCGATCAGTATTCAGTGGGTCAGGTCAGGCAGCCGCGGCTCGCGGTCACCAGTTACCGTTCCGTGAGACACCGAGGGCTAAATCTCACTGTCCACAGTTGAGTGGACAGGGCCTATTGGCCACAACTAGTTTTCATTTGAGAGTTCATAGCTGAGTGGCCAGCCGATACGCTTTGATAGTCGGATACAATAGAGGCAGTCGGGCAGAAACTGCACTGTGCTGACGATGCTCTGCCGGCGTCTGCAAGGTCCATTGTGATACTTATGGGTCCAGACTCAACACTGCCAGCCTTGCGCTGGTTTGGATCGATAAAGTTGCAGCCACTGCCTCCATGCAGTTTGCTAGAAGCACCAGCGAACACCTTTCCAAACGTCTTGCCCAGTATCTGACACCATGCAGCCCATGCTAGGGACCGAAGCAGAACACAGCACCAGGACGTCTCCCTCTGCCTCTGCCTTCATTCAGCTGGGCCTTGATTCAGCCTCTTTGGAGAACCAGTATACCGCGCCCACACATCTCTCCCGGCTCCCATGGATCGGCCACAGCCGGTTACTGCCCGGTCACGGGCGGCGGTCCACAACACAGCCCAATCACCATGGGAGCTGCACCCAACCAACGTCCACGGTAGAATCACAACCAGCACGACAATTCAGTCGGCTTAAGATTGCTCACAGCACACCTTTCACAGCAGTCCACAAAGCCTCTTTGACACGTGCTTGTCCGTTCCTGCAGCCCCATTTCAGACACTTCCCGAGCTACCTGTGTGTGTCTGCAGGTGATCTGCCACGCGTCAAAGCGCCTCACGCGCAGGAACAAGGGCCAGGTGAGGGGATGATGACCCCGGACTGCGGCAGGGGCGGGGGCGGGGGCGGGGCGGCCGATTAGCCGGCAGTTCAGTTCGTTTCCGGCGACCGACTACCACCGGTGATTAACCGGCGGGACGGCGTCTGGTCTCACACGACCGAGTGTCTGCTGCCACAGACGAGGGAGGCCATCGAACGGTCTGCTGGCGGCGCCACCGACTCGGGACTCGAGAGCCAGACCAGTTCTGCTGAAACAGAAAGCAACACCGCCCTGGAAACACCATGAAGACTCTGCTGGTTCGATAATGCGACTCAACCCTCGGGGGAATGCCGAATGGGCATGGGGATTTATACGCCTCGAGGTCTTCTTGAGGTATTCGCGATGGCTCGGAGCCATGGGGAATGGGTATGATGCCTAGCCGGCTTGTTGTCTGCCGACGGAAACCATTGCCGTCAACCATTGAAGACGTCATCGGTTCGATGTCATGTCACACACCAGAGCCTGTTACCCGGCGCCCGCGAGCGATCCGAGCGGAATGTAGCTAAGGGGCGCCTATTAGCGACGCATCCCAGACAGTAGCACCATCCTGTTATACGGTACAGAGAGCACACGACTGTCTGAAACAAACCCAGGCGTCTGCCGAGACACAGACACCCTTCCGGCCATTGTCCGCAGCGCACGCAGACGGCCAGTGCGGCGGACCGTTGGCAAATTCCCCACCGTGGTAAATACCGCTTCGGCCGGCGCGAAACTGAGAAAAACTCGGCAGAGCAGCAGCAATGGTGGACGGAGAATCCCGGGGCCGGCCAGGCAGAATGGAGCGTTCGCCGCGGTGTACCGGGCCAGTCACGCACCCAGACATCAAAGGAAACCGCCGCGGAGCCGGGCCACCCAGCAACCCGTGCCGTGCACAGAGACAGAGGATTGTCCAATCCAATATCTGTCAGAAGGAATCCTTCCATCTACCGTGACGTCTGCCGTCTCGGCCTGTCAGCACTTTTTCTCCGTTCTCTTCAGTCGTATATTTTCCGCTTATCGATCTCGTCGCTCTGTGATTGAGGCCTGTAATCTCAGACCGGTATGGATACGCGGTGTCCGGTGACGGCCGAGTTTGTCCTTTGTTTCATCTGCCTGCTGGCCTGGACGGCTGATGGCCGTTAGACTGTGTGTGGTCCCTCACTGCTCAGTGCAGCACCGCACAGCTCCGGCCGTGCCGAGCCGACAGCTCTTCAGATGCTGTGTCGGACGGCTGGACCTAACGGCCGCCATCCATCGGGCCACACAGATACCCATAACCCATAACAAACCGCTGAGCTACGGATTTCCGAGTCTGACGGAATACCGATACCTGCCGTCCAATGTTGGAAATAGGGCCCTGGCCTTTGCTGGTCCCAGTCGGGTCCAAACGATTTTGTTGTCCTTTACAAATTTATGCTCCGGCACATGAAATCTCTTAAATTTCCAGCGTGTGTGATGAAAACTGCTATTGTTACGCCTAAAACATGCAGTTATAGCATTGGGAGAACACATTTTATCGACTGTCACATTTAGTAGGCCAAACATATGAATTTTCCGTTGGAGTGTTCTAAAAGCTGGCCGGTTCTCCGGACATATTTTATTTTCCGGGACCAGGGGCCAATTTTACCAACAGAAAAATAGCCGTCTGCCGGAATTCGTTGCCTAAAGACCGTTTTATATACAGAGCATAAACGGTAAAGCCCTATCCGCTTACGTGCCCATCGCGTTTATGCTCCGTATGTGAAGCGGTCTTTAGGCAAAAAATTCCGGCTGGCGGCTATTTTTCTGCTGGTAAAATTGACCTCCGGACCAAAATTCACAATTCCAACATTGCTGCCGTCACTCTGTCATCACTGAAAGGAACTTGGCTGCACCTTCTGGGAGATGACAATGGCTGTCACAGCTCCAGCGTCTCCACTGTCTGAAATCGACCATGAGCCGATGGAGGCAGTTTTTGACGCTGGTGAGGGACGATATCCCGTACAGCGTCAACCCCTCTCCGTACTGCCCCACCCGACCAGACCCCAATACCTACTGTGTCTCGGTGACGGTGCACGCGTCCAAGTCCCTCGGCCTGTCGGTCTACAACATCTACGCACCTCCAGCGCGTTGGACAACAGGCCAGGGCACCCAGGAACAGGGATTCCAGCCGGATGGGATCAGACTGGAGCACCCTGCCGTGGTGTGCGGCGACTTCAACGCACACAGCCTCAGCTGGGACGCCTACCAGCCCGAGACAGCTCTCGGCGAGGCCATTGAGGACTGGGCCGTTGACAACGGCATGACCATCCTCAATGACGGCGGGTGCACTAGGCAAAACCCCAGCACCGGCGGAGTCTCTGCGCCAGACGTCTCATTGGCCTCCAGGGACCTCCTGAGATCAAGAAACGTCACCTGGGTGACGCAACGAGGAATCGGCTCTGACCATCTGCCGATCCTCGTCACATTGTCTTCGTCCGTGCAACGTCCACGACGGGAAGGCCGAGGCCGGTTTTCTCACCGGAGTGCGGACTGGCCCAAGTTTCGGGAGAGGCTGGACCAGCTGATCAACGCCTGGTCAGCCCAGCCAACCTCCCTGAACGAGGCCGCCAGCAGGCTAGCAGCCACTATCCTGCGGGCGGCCAGGGCCAGCATCCCCTTCGGCAACGGCCGAGGACGACGCCCGCCCTTCTGGAACCAAGTCTGCCAGGATGCAACCGACCGACGGGAAGAGGCACGGGTAGCTGCATCCCGTAGCCGCTCTCGCGCGGACGTCCTGCGCTACCAGGAGGAGCGGGCAACGGCCGACAAAGTCGTGGACAACGAGAAGACCGCCTTCTTCCGCCAAAAGGCGGCAGAACTCAAGCCGGACGGAGACATGTGGCACCTGATCCGCATCATGGACGGCCGGCGACCTCCAGCAAAGCCGGCCGTAGCCATCTCAAGACCGGGCACGGAGGGACAACCTGCGCAACCGACGAGACCAGCCGTCACCGACAAAGAGAAGGCAGAACTCTTTTGTCAGGCCTACGCGCAGGTGTCCCGCCTGCCCAAGGACAAGACCTCGGATCATCCCATCAAGATCGAGGCTAGACGAGCCACGAGCCAGACGTGCTGCAACGGCGGTCGTGACGCCTTCTGCTCGCCCTTCTCCCGCAGAGAGCTCCTGCTCGGCATCAGGAAACTGCGGAAGGGACGCAGCCCCGGGGTCGATCAAGTGACCAACGACATGCTCCACCAACTCAGCCCTTCAGCGGAACGCCATCTGCTGGAGGTGCTGAACTGGAGCTGGCGCACCGGGGAGGTTCCCGCGTCATGGAGGGCGGCGGAAATAGTCGCTATTCCCAAGAAAGGGAAACCGCCGAACGAGACCGGCAGCTACAGACCGATCAGCCTGCTCAGCTGTATCGGAAAGCTCGCTGAACGACTCGTGCAGCATCGTCTCCAACACTGGCTCGAGCGCGCCGGAAAGCTGAACCGAAACCAGGCCGGTTTTCGGAGGGGCCACTCCACACTGGACCAGCTAGCCCGAGTCACCCAGACCATCTTCGACGGCTTCGAGTCCAAGAAGCCGCAGCGAGCCATCCTCGTCCTCCTGGACTACGCGCGAGCGTACGACCGGGTGTGGCGGGATGCGCTGTACGCTAAGATGCGGCGACTGGGTGTACCGGGCTGCGCTACACGCTGGATCAGGGCCCTACTCAGCGACCGGCGCGCTAGAGTGAGATGGGGCACGTCAGCCTCCCGGTGGCGGGTCTTCCAGGAGGGCCTGCCGCAGGGCAGCGTGCTCGCCCCTCTCCTCTGGCTCATCTACTGTAACGACATCGACGACCGACTCCGGGCCGGAGACTCGAGCCCAACAGTCTCCCTCTTCGCGGATGATGTGGCCCTTCTCGCGACGGGCCGCTCTCTGCAGGAGTGTGCGGACAGGCTCCAACCGGCCCTGGACGAGGTCAGCCGCTGGGTGAAGACTTGGAAGGTCCAACCTAGCCCATCCAAGTGCGTGATGACCACCTTCACGCTGGACCCCAAGGAGTGCGGCGGCAAGGTCAAGCCCCAGCTCAGCTTCTGCGACCATCCGCTAGGCTACGAGGAGACGCCCACCTTCCTCGGCCTGAAGTTGGACTGCCAGCTGACCTTTGCCGCCCACATCGCCGCCCTCAGAGAGAAGATGGCAAAGCGCCGTGCTTGTATATCAGCGATTGCCGGAAGGAGCTACGGAAGCCACCGTAGCACACTCCGCATCGCCTACAAGAGCTACGTGCGCTCCCTCTTCGACTACGGGGCGGCCATCTACTTCACCCATGCGGCACCGGCTGTCCGCGAGCGCCTGGAGGTAGAACAGCGGAAATGTGCGCGCCTGATTACCGGCTGCATCAAGCTCACGGATAAGGAGACCCTGGTGGCGGAGGCAGGCCTCCCTCCGCTATCACTCCGTGCCAAGGAGCTAGCAGCCGGTGAGTACGCGCGCATAGTCCGTCTACCTCCGGGAGACCCCGCTCGCAACCTACTGGACAAGACACCACCACCGAGACTCCGCTACCGGGCCCACGAGGCATGGAGGCGCGCGGTGACGTCTGCCGAAGAGGCGGGTCTGCCACCGCCGCCACCGGCAGACGAAGACGCGACCCTCTCATTCAAGCCATGCTTTCGTCGGGTCGGTAGGTGGGTCTGCGACAGGGCGGGCTTGAGCGACCTCCCAGTGGAGCCCCTGGCACTCTACCAGGGCGCACCACCCTGGCACCACTGTGGAGACGCCGTCCGTTTCGTGCTGGACCTGCCGCAGCCCACAAGGAGGACAGACCTGCCGGAAAAGAGAAAGGAGGCGGCGTTAGCGGCGCTGGCCCTCGTCCCCGACCCAGACTGCACTATCTGGTCGGACGGATCCGCCAAGGAAGGCACCATCCAAGGCGGCGGTGGAGCGATCCTGGAGCTCCACCGTGAGGGACGCACAATAGAGTGCGTGGCACCGGCCGGTCGAGTGTGCAGCAGCATGAGGGCGGAGCTGGTGGCAATGACGGAGGCCCTGACATGCCTTCATGAGCTACCGGCCCCCTCTAAAGCACTCATCAAGAGAGTGCTGCTCTGCACAGACTCCCGGTCGGGGCTCCAGCTACTTAGCCGCGGCCCGGACGACCAACAGTCGGCCATCGGTCAGCGCGTCTGGGGCCTAATAGACGCGCTGACAGCCGCAGGGAAGGACATCACCCTGCACTGGGTCCCGGGCCACGCCGACCTCGCCGGCAACGAGGCAGCCGACCGCCTCGCCAACCAAGCCGCCGCCGACTGCGCTCAAGAGGAGGCCCCGATCGACCTCTCCAGCGCGCGGACAGCCATCCGTCGCTGGACATCGGAGCTGGCCTCCGCACGGGCGCAGCGGCATCCTCATCGAGAACCTACTCCGAGCCACGATGAGCTGGACAGGTGGGGCCAGGCCACCCTGTCCCAGCTTCGCACCGGCTACTGCCCACTGGTGCGAGCCACAGCTCATCGTCTCGGCCTGGTCGAAGACCCGACCTGCCGAGCCTGCGGCGAGGAGGAGGAGGACGTGGAGCACCTCCTGGCCGGGTGCCCTGCACACGTGGCGGCGAGGGCCGGCTTCTGGGGGCACTGTCCGACCCTGGCGGAAGTGCTCTCGGGGCCGGCCCAACATATCATCGAATTCATGAAGAGAGTGGGGCGGGTGCAGGTCGCCACCGACCCGCCCCCGCCGGCCGCGCCCTAGGCGCGGTCCGCGACCGCGCAGAAGAAGAAGAAGAAGGCAGCGGTCGGTGACGGCGGCGGCGGCGGCAGCGATGGCGCCAATGACCGCACCAGGTGCGAGCAAACGTCAACGCACGGCGGCGCCCGTGTGGCGGCCACCGGCTGACGCTCCCACGTGCTGCTGCGGCCGGGAACACACACCCAGTGGATGCCATGGGAGGGTGGCCACACGCCATACAATACCATGTTGTTACAATGCGCTGGGTTAGTGAAAAGGTGACGAAATATAGGATGTCCACTGTCCAGCACGTATCAACGATGAAAAGGAAGCACGAATCTGTTTGTGATGGGGCATGTTGCGTTTCTGTGTGCATTTAGAAAATCATGCTTCAATCAAAAGAAAAAAACGGTTTCTCACAACTTATTTTCCAAGTCCGAGAAATAATTATGAAAGGCACGCAGGCGGAAGAACTTGAGTTCAAGTTGAGCTTAGGTCGATTTTGAGGGAAACGGAAAATGTTCAGACGTCGCCTTATATGGAAACGTGTTGAGCTGGAGGGAACAGCATGTTGCAGTACACACCCTTCAAAGGCTAATGCCTTCCGTTAATCCCCCGACCCCTCCCCACCCCACATTCCATCCGAGATGAATCACTATTTCCGGTCGTCAATTTCCCTCCCTCTCACCTTTCTCACCGCTTATCTACTCTTCTGAAATCCTCCCCACTCCCCACCGTCCACCACTCTGTCTCGATCCGACCGGCACTGTTCACACTCTGTCCACTCCGATCACTTTCGCTTCTCACTCCACAGACGGCGAGAGCGCACACGCCCGCTCCTCGCGCTCGCCAGCCGCGACTGGCCGGCCGCGCCTCCGCGCCGGGCGGCGGGCGACGGCGGGGGAGGCAGACGGTGGGCTGGGGGGGGGGGGCGGACGACGACGGCCGGCAGACGCCTCGCAGACGATGATGGAAGAACGCGGGGCGATGGGGGAAGTGGGTAAGGAAGGGGACAGATAGCTGAATGCTAATGAGTACTTTGTAATCTGCTCACTATCCAAAATATTCACTCGTCCTTCCGACTCGTGACTCGCTGGGTCGAGCGGTCGAGGAAGCCTTATGCGAGCGGCCTTTCGGGTGGAGCCGACCCCAACGCACGAACACAAGAACGGGGTCAGGCGCAGCGCGAAAACGCGGTCTCTGCGTTCCGTCCGACCACTGCCCACACACTCCACCCCTCACCCGGTGACACAGCGCCAGTGACACACCGACGGGAGCGGGTGTTTGACACCGACTGACACTTCGCAGGCTTCTCCAGCGCGCCGGGCGGCGGTCGCCTGTGTGACCCCGCTCGCCCAGCCCCCGCCGGTTATTTCCGAGCATGTCGCCTGCTTACACGGAGCATTCCTGCTTGGATGAGTCACACCGCTTCGGTATACATCTGGTGATATCACGACCGTTTGGAGAAACGGCGGCTGAGCCGCGGAGACGTCGGACAGTCGCGGGGAAGGCAAGGTCCAGACAGTAAGCTGGCATTCGGCGAAAGTGAGCTCTCCTCAGGACAGGCGTGCGCAGGACACGTGGCCGCGGTAACCGGTCCTGGCTCCGGCCGGGCCGATTTCCATGAGAAGGCGGGAGCGGGGCGCCGAACTCGACTGCCGTTAATTACCGGTCGGTGAAACGGAGCGCAGATGTGTGTCGCGCACGAAAGAGAAAACGACGGCCAATCGCGCGGCAGTCGATACAGCGCATGCCAAGTGACCTCATCGCTCACCGAGTACCGAGGTGGGGAGGTGTTTAATTAATCCCCGGTAGCCCGTCTGGCACTGGCAGTGATTCAGCAGGCCGCAGTGCTCAGACTGCTGAGGGGAGCGAGGCACGACACCTGAGCCGGCTCATCCCGCTCTCCCCTGCCTGGACGGCATAGTGAGCATACCGCCCCGCCCTGGAATGCCGACCTAGACTCCGGAGCCCGGTCCAGTCAGATACTGTCACCGGAGAGTGCCAGATCCAATCGCCCCAACACTGGCACTGTCAGCAATCGATCACGACATAGATCGAAGTCCGGACCTTCCACAGCGAACCAGTCACAGAGAACAGCCACTTCAAACACAATAGGAGGCCTCACAGGCCACCTCAGGTCACCATGGGTCATCTCAGGTCACCTGGCCTAATGGGAGGTCACCGGGTCACCCACACAGGGCATCCCGGCGGTTTTAACTGCAGGCCGCTGTCGGCAGCCGGCCGGGGAGGCGAGACCTGTCAGACATTCCGACACGGCGCCTGGAGAAGCGAGGAGCGCCGTTTGACCAAGTGACCGCCACACGTCGACTGAAGGCGGAGGCACCGTTCCGTGCTTCTTTCCTCAGGATACTGAAATCTTTCTCTCCTCCACGCCGCAACCCCCCTCCGGGCTGGACAGGCAACTTTATCTCATGCGGGCTGCTCCCTTGGAGCGGCACCGCTGCTCCCGAGGGAGCGCACCCCGTAGCCGGGTGCAGTGAGTGCCTTGGGGCTGGGTGGCCTGTCCTCTGGACGGGCTCAGCCCCGGCGACTCACTAGGGTGCCTGCCCAGACCAATGTCTCCCCCTAATTCCTATCATCCTTCCGGCTCTGCAATGGTCTTGTCGACCGAAAGGGCCTAACCCAACAAAACAAAACAAACAAACAAATGAAGGCGGAGGGAGGACCAGAGAGGATCAGCTGTGGAGGAATGCGACGGCCGTCTCTGAGTCATTCCGGTCACACCGGCACAAACCAGGGAACACCATTAAACGTGTCATGTCAATGCGCTGCCAGAGACGGAGGTAGACAAAGATACATAAGAGATAAGGGAGACAAAGGCCCGGCAGACGCCGGTTAGAATAGCGGTGAACCGCTACAAACTGTAACTGGTACGGACTAGGCACGATTCTGCCAGCCATTCTCGGTTCTCAGCCATTCGAACCAGCTGAGCTAGGTTACGGGCCACAAAACCGTGAGTTGTCGTTCCGGAGAAGGCAGCCAAGTGCAAATTTGCTGGCTGCGTGTAGTAATTGAGGAGCTGGTAAGAAATGAAGTCGCTGGCATTACTGCACCGGTCGGCTGACTGCCTCTGTTCGACACAAAGCTCCCGCATATGGCGTAGATAACTTGCCCGCCCCGCTCCCATCGTTCGTCGGTGCCGTCGTCGGTGCTCTGCCGCGGTGCTGCGGTGCTGTTCGCACCCTGCAGTTCCCATCCCGTCCCGTCGGCCGTCGGCCTCCTCTCAGCCTACCCCGATCGACCCGCGCCTCGATCAGCCCCATCCGGCGTGCAGTCAGTGCCCGGTGAGTTGTCCAAACCAGCTCCACCTGCGTGCCTACCTCGGCCCACGCCGCTACTCCGCTACACGCGCCGCGGGTGCGACTGATGATTATCGTCTGGAACTGGTCAGCACTCAGCACCGCCCACTGTCCACACCGGCAGTAGCGGGCTCTCAGTTCGTAGAACCCGCCACGTGCGGTCCAACAGACGGATTCAGACAGAAAACGGAACGGTCACGGCAGACTTCACTCACGCCACGCCACTGGTGAAGCTGAACTTTGCCCGAGTTGGTCAGTCTGCTAATGCTTCACTGGTAAGCGGGACTAAAAGTTCGACGTAACTGTAGCTGGCTCATGCCAAGTTTCCGGTAGGCGGTAGCTAAGAACTAAGATGATCAAGTTCGTTTCAGAAAACCCATGTCTAATTGAATATTTATCCATGAGTTAGGCTTTCCCAAACAGCCGTCAGTAACTAGTTTATCATTTTCTTCCTATCACTCAGTCATGAGTATTTCCCTCTCATCAGCTCAGTCTCTCGGCCAAGACGGACTCTTCCACTACCGCACAGACGGACTCCTCCATAATTATCAGCACAGGCAGACTCTTCAGACGGCTCCGCGTCCGCTCACCAGCCACTGCCGCGGCGGCCCACCGTGACGGATAGCACCGCACGGCGTCACGGCAGGAGCATCACGAACCGACCGTCACACCGTCACGGAGCGACACGGTTCTGCCTCAGGAGGGCGGAGGTGAGGCGACGGGGTCACGGACAAGGTTACAACCATAACCATCTGTCTATCTATAGTGAAGAAATGCTGAGACAAAACGTGATTTCGGTGCCCGACATGACACTAACGAAAATTACGAAAAGTCCTTTCCTGGACAGTGGACAGCAGTGGACAGTGGCCAACAGCTCAGTTTCTGTGTCTTTGCGTCAGTGTTCCCGAAAATAGAGCGACATCTGAATTTAGAACGAACAGCTAAAAAGACGCTGACGAAGTTAACCCATCTCTGTCCACTCCCGCCCAGTGACACAGTTATGATGAGACCGAGCTGGGTAATGTTTGCAGAGACCCCTTTCCTCTGTGTTTACCGCCGTCTGCAGCCCCGTCCACCATCCCCGTCTGACAGTGAGCGGGTCACGCGGTCTCAGAGGTCACGGAGCCGCGCGCTGACACGGACCAGACGCGGAGGAACGGGGTCGGTGTTTGGCAGTGCGCGGCGTGTCGTGATGAGAGGGTGAGGTTGACGGACGCCACTCCCCGCCGACACGCGCGGCAGAGGGGTGCTGACTCCACCGACCGCAGGGGTCCACCAGGGCACGTGACGGCACGATCGGCTGGCGTCATTAGAGTACCACGCCGGCGCGGCGGGCGACGTCAGACACGTCTGTCGGTGAGACGATGTAAGTAGTTACTTACATAGCAACACGACAGAGAGCACCGCCTCTTTCCAGCAACGGCATGAGCGTGACTTCCATAATGCAACGTCTGTTTAGTCTCAGACGTGACCCGTGCCAACCCAGTCATCAATGTGACCTGCAACAAACATGTCCCATGCCACGTGACCTGCAGCAAGGCTGCTATCCCACACCACGTGACCTGTAACGAGCCTGCTATCCCATACCCGCGACCCCTTGAGAACGCCGCCAAGGCACACGTGCCGATGCACCCTCACCTCGTGACCTCTGGGAGGCGCGTTTACAAAACGCCATAACACTCAACTGATATTGTTCCAGCCCCTCCGTGATTACCCACGTGTGTGTACCGTAGGTGTTTCCCAATCTCCGCGGGGTTGCAGGCCTCAGGAATTCCTCGCACCCTTCACGTCAGTTGCAGCGCCCCTCGGTCCGGTCTCAGCGCCGTGCAGCCGAGCGATACAAATAACGGCGGCGGCGGGACGATGACGTGCCGGCCGATGACGCCACCCCCGGAAACCCGAGCCATCATCGGCGCTGAGAGCAGGCGGCGCGCGGGAGCCGGGGAGGGGGAGGGGAGGGAGGCGCTCCCATTCTCCGAGCCGAGCACTGACAAACTGGGATCGAGTGGCGGGCGGGTCGTATTGCAGATGAACTCCCGCAGGCCGGCCCAGGCGCTGCATCGAGCCGGTGTTGGAAATCGGGCTCAAATATCACGTCAGTCGGATCTGGTTGGAACTTGGAATGTGCCTCTCTGCATGGAGACTGTCATGTGATCTACATATTGCCGCATGATAAGAAGGAAGGAAGAAAAAAACAACGAAACTTTAGGAACCAGGCATCGAAGTTAGACATTGTGAAACGCATGTTGGTTGCATGACATGCCCTCTATTCGAGTGCACATAAATGATGCACTGATCCTTTAGTTTATGCGTAGGTATTCTGTTGTGTTATGCCGTCTTCTCATCAAAAGTCGACCATTCTGACCCACCGTTCCAAGAACCTCTGTCTGCCACCAGTCCTCCCTCTGTCTGACCTCGACTCAGTCACCGATCGTCCCGGGCGGGGCAGAGCGCACCGTCTCCTGTTTCAGCCTGAGCCAACACAGCGGACCGAATGCAGCCAGCCACTCCAATCGGTCGGCTAATACAGAGCAGAGC